CCGGGGGCTCCGCGGGGGCTGCGCGGCTCGTCTCCTTGGCGACGCCGTTCAGCAGGACCAGGTGCGGGGGGGCCATGCGGGCCTCGGCCGCGTCCCGTCCCTCTAGCGAGGGGTCACTGCGTGCCGCCTCGCTCGGCGGCCGCTCCGTCATCCTGCGGGCAGACAGACAGACAAGCGGACGCCCGCTTTGACCACCGCCCCGGGCCCACCCACGTGGGGCGGGGTAAGGGGTGAAGGGCAGAGAGAGAAACTCACGCACCGAGACGTGAGAAGAAGCGGACAAACTTGGCGCCACGTGGACACACAGCCGCTCTCGGGGCCTAAAGACCCGCCGGTGCTGGGGCGGGAGGGAAAGGGGGTCTCTGGTTTGGGAGAAGAGGGGAGGGCGCCTGGAGACAGAGACTGAGGGCCAAAAAGACAGAGATGGAGAAAAACGACGCAGACATTGGAAGAAAAGGAATACAGCCAGCGAAAGAAAAACAGAAGGGGAGAAAGGAGGAAGGAAATGTAGAAAGAGTCAGAGAGAAATATCACCCCGTTCCCCTTCTCAGGCCGCAAGGGAAGAGGAGGGAACAAATCCCCGACCGTGTTCTTCCCGCCCCCCTCCCGGTTTTGGCGGGGAATCTGTCGCGGGGAGGTTGGGTGTTTTTCCAACCTCCCTGGCCTCTCAGCAATACCTGCTCCCAGCCTAGAACCACACACATGCACCCAGAAACCTGGTGGGGGTGCAAGTAGGGAATTTAGGGAATGGAGGCTACAGGGCCTGGGGTCCACTCTGCCACAGCTGGCAGAGAATTATCCGAGGAACCTACATCCCCTTTCAACACATGTCTTCCGGAGATGAGACATCAGGAAGCGGAGAAGATGATCCGGCCCTACCTCCCTGACGCTGCACCTCCTTCTGCTCAGCTGGACTCAGAAGTGAGGTAGGGTCTGGAAGGGAGGCCTGGCAGAGGTGGTATGGAGCCTGGGCATTCAGAGGGTGCCCCTGAGGCCACTGGGGTCTGGGCTCCCATGCACGAGTGGGAAGGGGTGTCAAGAAGGCCCTTGGACTCTTCCAGCACTCCGCCATCCCCCTCTCCCACCTCGGTGTTGTCCTCTGGGAAATGGAAGGAATGCCTCATTACAGTGAAATGCTCAAGAAAATATTATCATTAGATAACATTACCATACATTAGTTAACATTACCATAAGACTGGGCTAGCAAGGGGACCGCCTTGCCCAAGGCTACAGGTGCCTATGTGCCACCAGATCTCCCACCTGACTCTGTCGGCGCTACCCTCCCATATACACCTTCCCATATATACCCCGGAGCAGAGGACGCTCCTTCTCTCCTCCACAGCCACACTGCGGGTGACCGCAGAGGCTCCACTCCCCACTCGCACTTGCTCGGGTTCTTCCATCACCCTGCCTCCATGCCGATGGAGCCAAGCCTCCACAAGAATGAAAACAGAAAAACCAGGAGACTCTGGGTCCAGAGTTTGGGGATGTTTGCGAGTTGTTTTAATAAAAAAATTAAAATACAGTCAACTCGACAGGCTTCATAAGATGTTCGAAATAAGGTTTCTGCTCTCAGAATCATATAATTGGGGTATTTTATAGCACAAATAAATACACAAAAACCCAATTCCTCCCCAAGCCAAGTCTATTTAATTACTCCCAGCAGCCATTGAGCTCCCATTCTGCCACTGCACTGCTCTGGACCAGAGTCGGCCTGGGAACCATCCTCCCACCCCAGAACAGAGACCAGACCTTCTGAAACCTCCTCCGGAGCTCAGCTCAATTGCCACCAGACACACATAGCTGATGGAGAATCACCATTCAGACAGTGCTCGTGCCCTGGGTCTGCCAGCCCCATGGGCTCGGCCAGAAACGACAAAATCCCCAAGACCTAGTGTAGAGAGCTGCAAAGGCAGCGGGTCCGAAACGCTTCACTGGAAGCGAGTTTACGATTATGGCGGAAACAATAGATCTGTATCCATAGAGTGGGACTGCCAAGACACTGTGGCCACTAGAAATGCACCAGAGGTATACCAGTCCCTCCCCATGGCTCCCCTGCGGTGGTGAAATGCACCAGAAATATACCATCACAGGCAAAATATACTAGCCCCAAGGTGCTGGCTCCCTACCTTACTGTCCCCATGCACCGTTGTGCGTTCAGTGACACATGCTTCAGCCCCAGCCTCTAACCAAGTGACCAACAGTGCACACTGCAATTGCCAGACTGAGCTCAGGCTCTCCTTATAACACATTTATACCATCTGACTAATTCCGAGGCTCCCTGCAGGAGCGGATCCCTGAGGGGCAAGAGGAGCACATATTCCAGATGAGCTGACCCTGGCCCCAAATGCCCTCTCCAGAGCCTATCTGAGGCTCCCTGTGAGAAACCTATGATTGGCCCCCAGGGTCTGTGGCAGACCTCTCCCCGCCCCTCCCGGACCTCAGAAAAACCTAGTGGGCTCTTCTGCAACCCGGATCGCTCAGGCCGGGGGTCCGTGCTCTGGAGGAGGCCACCAGAGGACTCACGAGCACGAGCACGTTCGGTTGTGGGTTGTTGGCAACTAAATTCCATCACTAGGCTGCGTTACAATTACTGAAAGGAAAGCCTGAGTGATTTTTGTTTATTTGTTTTTATTTGGGGACGATGCAGGAGCACAGCAAAGGTTTCGATCTGAGTCCCACTAGACTAGAGCACTCGACCATTACAACTCCTCTGTCTTTGTGCGGCCAAGACCCAGCTCGCAGCCCCCAAAACCGGATCCTCATCTCCTGTCGCCAGACTGGCGCTCGTTTCCGTGAGGCCTGAACAAGGCCGGGATCCCGGGAGCTCCCCGGGGGCAAGCGCCGGGTCTGGGCAGCTCCCGGTTCCCGGCGGGAAGAATTTCTTAAATGAAAATAGCCTCTGCCTTGCCTGGGGCTGGAGCCACCGCCTAAGAGCCAGCCTCCTGTCCCTCACACCCCTGGGGTGTGAGCCCCAAGCCTGCACGAGAACCAAAATCGCCACTGAACAGAACCATTTTCCCCGCTGCTGCAGGAGTGGAGGGGTGTCCAGCGCGGCCCCACCCTAGGCCTGAGGCCCCGGTCAGGCCCACCCAAGCTGGGACTGCGCTAGCCTTGATGGCTGCGGCCTTCTTCCTGCCGGAGCCCCGGGCGCAGGCAGCCAGCACCACCCGGACAGTCACCCCAAAGTTATGAGCCTGTGAAACGTCCACAGAACCGGGACCGATGGGAGCGGCCTGGGGGACTAAGTCCAACCAGCTATTTTCACCCAGGGTCGAAAAAAGAAAGGCCCTCGCTGGCAGCCACAGAGGCAGAGAGGCCACAGTCAGCAGCAGAGTCAGATCCCAGATTCCCAGCTCTGGGTTTGTCCTCCCCCCCTCCCCAATCTGAGACTGGACTGTCCTCTGTCCTCAGCCTCCCCCACCCCAGGCAGGAACCCAAGGCCTTACTGGACGCTGGTTCTACCGATCTCGTTGCCCAGAAACTCACCTGGGGCATATTTAGAGAGACCGGTCCTTCTGAATAGGATCTCACTCCTCCTCCGGAGAGGGGCGGGAGCCGAGGTCCAGCCGGTGGACGGGGGTCTGTGCTTTCCCCCCCTCTCTCTCCGAGAGACCAGCAGTTAGGCCGCGGTGTGGTCCTGGGCAGTCTGCCGCGCCCAGAGCGCGTTTCCAGGAAAGATGGGGGTGGAGAGAAAGAGGGAGGGCGAGAGGGAGGGAGACAGAGAGATGGGGGTCAATGGCTAGGAATTACCTCACGTCCTCGCCAATCAGCCGAGGGAATCGCGCACAGTTTTCCGCCCCCAACCTGCAGGTGTTTGAAGCCTCCCCCCACCCCCATAAAAAAGAACCCTACACCTGAACAGTCAGGACTAACTAACTAATCCAACAACCACCACCCCGCCGCAGACTGCCCGGAACATTTTGGACCCTCCAACCGGGATGTCTGGTTCAGTGTGGCCGAGTTTGTTTTCTAAGCGTTGACGTGTCTACGCGGTTGGCTCGGGAACCCTGGTCAGGCGGGAGCTGCGGCTGCAGCGCGGCGTCGCCCGCAGCCCGGCACCGGGGGCAGTGAGGGCGATGCGTGTCGGAAAAGGTGAATCAGTCTTCAGACCGTGGTCGGTGGGGCAGAACCTCCAAGGCCCCCATTCTCTCCAAGACCCCTGCCTGCCCACCTCCAGCCCAAAGCGAAACCAGAGCCCAATTCCAAAGGCTACTTTCCCGCAGGAATGGAGTCGGAAGGGCGCGATCCGAGAGGATGGGGGAAGAGGGCGGGATGTCTGATCTATCCAGGTCCCTTCTTTTCTTCCTACTGATTAAGAAAAAGAAAAAAGAAAGAAAGAAACCTCCGCCTTCCCCTCAACCATTCCTACACGACGATTTTCGATTTTTCGGTGTTCAGAGCCGCAGAGTAGGGGAGAATTCTAATAATTCCTTGCAGCAATAAACAAGGCAGAGAGAGGAGGGTAAAAACAATCCATTCCTGCTTCCCGGGGTGTAACGGTAGCGAGATTTACGTTGCTTTTTTCTTCCCCCTCCGGAGGGTTTTGTTTAATATGTTTTGCTTAAATCGTCCAGTTTATGATCACATATCGAAGTCTTGGACTAATTGCAAAGGCCTCCTTCTTTTTGCCCCTGCTTTGGTGGAAATATAGGAATAATTCTTCCCTGCAGTTTTAATCCAATGTGGGAGATTTTCTCTCTACTCTTCTAATCCAAATGGGGGAGGGCTGGGAAGAAGGAGGAATCCACCCATTCCTGGTGTCTGAGGTCGAGGTTCCTTTTTGCTTTATGACCAAGTCTCTGTGTCCGTCCCTCTCTCCACTTTCTCTCCCTACCCCAAACCCAGCACTTAAAAAACAGAAAGCTGGTGGGGACAACCGCACTGCTTTGTTATCGCTCCCAAGAAGCTAAAAGGGACAAGCCGCGTGCTCCTGGACGACTATTGTAATTAAAATACAATGATGATAATGGTGATGATGATGATGATGACATTAGTAACTAGAATAACTAGCAAAACAAAATCCTTTCTTCCGAGCTAGGGCAGCACTCATTCGGTCCCTCCACGGAGTCCGGCCCCGACCACCGATGAGACAGGTACCCGACCCACGCGGGAATGTCGCTCACTCGAGGAGGGGGTGGAAAAATGTTGCATGGAGATGATCCCGAGGGTTCCCACCCGAGGCGCGAGGCCTGGAGAAGGCGCCCATTGTCTTTCCTGGGCCTCTCCCACAGCCCCCGCGGCCGTACCCGCGAAACTGACCAGAAATGGACGAAGCCTGAGTGCGTCGGGAAGCGAAGCCGGCGGCTACCGGCTTGAAGGCGCCGGCCTCTGCGAGCGCTGCTCAGCTTCGAGCCTGGAAGAGCCTCCCACTCACTGACAAACCCCTCAGACACCGAGGCGCAGACTGGCCTCTGGACGGAGCAGCCGCCGACAGGGCTCCGTCTGCCCATCCGAGCCAACACTGGCTTCCGAATACCTCATAATTTGGAATAAAATGTGAAACCCCTCTCCCCGCCCCCATGCCGCCTCCTCCACTTGAGCCTCCATCTCTCGCTCGCCCTCCTCCTCCACCCCCCAGCGATTTGCAAATGCACTTCTAATGGACACAGGCACACAGGCACACAACTCAGTAGGACAGGACCACACGGGGTCCAGCCCCACAGAAGGGAGGCAAAGTAAACACAGCCCAACATTGCCCCGCAAGCCGACATGGTCAGGGCCGCGCATTGTCCAACACGACACAAACGCAATCGCTCATGGACACACAACCCAACGTACTCAGGATCACACACGCCCGACACAACAACGAAGCCACCAAATACAATCGCAAATGCCACACAACCCATCACACAGAACCAGACTCATGATGAGAAGGCAAACGAGCACAATTATATACAACGATTAAAACGCAGAAGGGCCTCGAAGAATCCAAATCTACACACCCAAACGGCGCAGACACCATCACACTCGGACACACAACCCATCGCCAAGAAGACCACGCTTGGAAGTCAACATTGCCCACAGCTCATACACTCAGTCTCACAATCCCACCGCATGCACACAACCACGAAGAAGAAATGAAAACCAACCACCGCCTCGCGCATTTCTGTATATTGCGTAAGGAAAAAGGGGAAGGAAGGAAGAGAGTCTCCGAGGCGGGAGGGGCGGCGGCGAGCGCGAGGGCATCTGTGGAAAATGCCCCCCATCGAAAGAAACCGAGGGGAAAGGAGCAAAGACCTCTTCTGCGAGTGGAGGAAATGGAGGGAGGAAATTGATAGGGAATTCCGTGTGAGACCGCAGGTTGCTTTGCCCTAGAAAAAGGCCAGAATGCTCACCTTTTGCCGCTACTGGGGGACGCGTGTGGCCATTTTGAGGCCTGGTCCTCAGTGCGAAGGCCCGCCCCACGCCCCCCGCCCGCGCCCCAGTCCTCCACCGCCGCGCTCTAATCCCGCTCACGTTCTGGGCCTCGTTAGCATGGGCCGAGGCGCGCCGGGGCCGTGTGCGCCGCCGAGATAAGGCACTGCCGCGGGTCCGCTTGCCCCCGATAAGCGCCTCGGCCATTATGGGCCAAATGATTCATTTTAATTTGGCAGTTTCACCGGAGGGAGTGGGGACTGGTTGCACAGCGCTGGGACCGGCTCCGGAATGCGCCGCCGAGAGCGTTGGGCGCGCTTTCTAGGAGCCGGCGGGTGCAGCACCATTTCTGATCCTGAGGTCTCTCCGGAACCGGGCTCCCCACAACCTCAGCCCCTCGGCCATTCAGACACCGTTCTTCAGCGACTCTAATGCCAGCACTCCGAAGACCACGACAGCAAAACCATCACTCCCAACCCTTCTCTGGCATTCACTCGTTCTCCAATGTCCTAGACACTCAGATTTCAATGGGCAGTTCGTCTTATCCCAGAAAGCTCCCCAGCTCCTCACTGACCCCTCACCCTCTTCAGCCCTGGCTCTTCTCTGCTCTAAAATGGAGCCTGCTTGCCTCGAATGTCATGGACTGAGCTCACACCCAGGGGCTCTATGGAGGCAGAACTGGTGTCAACGGAGAGACTAAAATGTCCCTTCTACTGAGTTTCAGGCTGAGCCCAGAGCCCGGGAACATCCCTCCTCCCATAATATTTTTAACGTATTAATCTTGCTACTGAAGCCGTGTTCTAAGCTCTCTACAAATATTAACTCATTTAGTTCTCATAAACAGCCCTACGAAGTCGGTGCTATTGTTACCCTCTTTTTACAGATGAGGAAACTGAGGTACAGAGAGTAAAGTAACTTTCCCAGCATTCCATATCTAGTGAGTGGAGGAGCCTGGTCTGAAGCAAATTTGGCACCAGAGTCCTGGAGCCCAGCGGATGAAGAGGGGCAGCTGGAGTCTAGGCTTGGCAGAGGCACCTGGGCTCAGCTTACACAGGGACCAAGATTGGTGCTATGGGGTAGAAATATGGGTTCAGTGAGGGGTGGGCCACTGGGGCTTAGCCCTTGGAGAGTATCTGGATTCATTCTTGTGGTGGAGTGGAAATAGCACAGGCTCAATTCTTACAAGTCGCTTAGCTCTGAACCTCAGTTTCCCCATCTGTAAAATGGGGGAGATAATATGTACCTCACAGAGTTGCTGTGAGGATTAAGTAAAATGATTTTTAAAAAGGTGGTGGTGAGGGCAACAATCCATGGAACCTCCCCCAGCCCAGAGCCCAGGACAACTTCATATGAGCTTGCATGGGAGTTCTGGTTATGGGTGTAGAGAAGGAAAGTAAGGCAGCGATGTGACTTGGCCGAAGCTCATAGTGAGCCAGAGGAAAAGCTGAGACCCAAACTCACGCATCCAGCTCCCAGGCCACCACTCTCCCCACCTTCCTTCCAGCATCTCTGGTTTGAGCTCCTTTGGGAGCCTGAAAACTAGGGAAAAGCCCCTTGTTTGGTCACAGACAGCCCAGAGTGTGGCCGCAGTCTGAGTCCTGGCCCTCCTTGACCATCAGGACAACCCTCTGCAAAGATACGGTTAATTTGGTGCAGCCTGTCCCCTCTGCTCCTCTTGTGCTCTCTGGTGGAAGTCAGGGCACCATGTGGGCACACGTAACTTTTACAGAATCCCACGGGAGAAGGGCCGCCCATGTCCTGAGAAAGAGTCTACTTCCTGGACTTGCCACGAAGCCTCCCCTGGCCCAGCCACACCAACTGCTCAGCAGGGACCCTGAGGAGGGGTCTCTGGGGCTGTTCAGCCCCATCTCTCCCTCTCTCCCCATGGCTCCAGCCCTGCCTCACCCACTGTCATCAAATCAAAGTCTCCCTCCATTGTGCCTTTGCTTCTGCTGGTTCTTCTGCTTACTGCCCTCCTCTCACATCCGTCCTTCAAGACTGAACCTTTCTGCCACTTGCTCCCCGAAGCCACCCTGCAACAGGGTTGGCTTTCATCTCTCCCTCCTCTCATCCCTATTGCTTTTGCTTGGTTGCATCCCTTAATAGAAAGGGTAGGAGTCATATAATTCTGAGTTCAAAGCCCAACTCTGCCACCCTTGGGCCGTGGCACCGGTGGGCAAGTCATGTCATGTCTCTGAACCCCTGCAAAAAGGGGCTGGCCATTCCCACATCAGGGAGCCCAGCCAGGGAATGCTTCCCTCGGAAAATGATGCGTGTACTGAGATCTAAGAGCCAGATCTGAGGGGCAGGTAGAAGTGTGAGCATTGACAGCCTTCCAGGTGGGCGGAGGGCTGAAGCAGAAGGGCTTTAGGTTCACGGAAGGAACAGAACAGAGTCCAGCACTGCTGGAGCAAGCCTAGGGACAATTTAAAGAATTTCAGGGGGAATCATTTTGTTTAATTGGTTTGAGGGTGGGCTAGCGTCCTATACAGCCTCAGATTTGCATTTCTAGAAAGCTCTTTGGCTGCAAGGTGGAGAAGGGGTTTGTGTGGGTGGGCAGGTTGTCCGGAGACCACTTCTGAGGCCAATGCAGTGGTCCAGGGGAGGGAGATTGGGGTGCGCATGCAGGTGCTGGCAGAAGAGATGGCAAGAGGTGGATGAGGATGGCATGTACTTACGGTACAAAATAGGATTTGTAAGAATTGGGTCTGGGGGGT